AGTGGTTGACAGCGGTAGCCAGGCACCATCTAGTTCTTCTGGTCTCATAGTCAAGTAGGCTAAGGATCACATGTTATACCAGTCACTTGGACTAATTATTTCCATGAATCTTTGGTTTTCTTCCTTCTTCTTTGCTCTGGATGAGGTGAGACCCATCACTGCATCTAGATGGCTGCTTGCAAGTTTTTAAGACACTAGTCACTACTCACCAAAGTAGGGGGTGGAAAAATGTTTTGTGTAGTATGTTATGCCAATTGAGCTTGATGTCCCCTGCAACTATGGTCCCAAGCCCATAGGTTCAACTACTCGCTCCCTCTGGGTATCTGACTGTGGCCAAGAAGTAACTACAACCTAGTCACTTGTCAGCTCTACTATACATAAAAGGTGCTTCTTGAAGGAAAGTATCTAAATGTCAAATGTTCTAAATCCTCTTTAATCTTGACTCAAGCTGAAGGAATGATAGACATTAACATCTAGAAAGGCCTTTTGAACAGTGTAAAGCCTATGAAACATGGATGAAATCAAACTCTAATTGATTCAGTTACCAAAACACAGGGCTATCCCGATCATCCTTGACTGTGTAATACTCCTTGTCAGTTTCAATCGCTTTGGTTAAACCAAAGTCTCCAATCTTCACTTGGTGTTCACTCTCAACAAGGACATTTCTTGCTGCTAAATCCCGGTGAACATATTGCCGAGAACCCAAATAGTCCATCCCCTAAGGAAAAGAAAGACGCAGCATATTGCTCAGAGTCATTTCAGATCATATTTTGTATCTATCGCTTCATAATTAAAAAATTTTAAAAATCATTTCATTAATGTATCACTGACAATTGGTGGGGAGGGTTTCACTTCCATAGCAGAGATTAATTTTCCACCCAAATGATGCAAAGCAAAATAAACTCAGTACATTCATTAGATAACTTCCTACTTTTGGTCTAATTACCAACCAACTATATAGGGCAGAGTGCCAATTTTTAAATCTTTAACATGGCTTTTTTTTTTACCTTACAAATCTGAACAGCATATTTTAGCTGCTGTTTAAGGTTGATTTTGTTCTTATTCTTTGGAAGATATTCCTTAAGGCTTCCAGAAGGCAGAAATTCCATGATGAGCTTAATACCATTTCCTCCTGTTTAGAAAAAACACCCATTAGTATGAGAAGGATCTGTGGGAGAGTTAAAGGCACAGGATCTGGAGACCGAGGACCTGACTGACTTCAGCTGTGCCCCTTCACCACAGGCAAGTCCTAACCTGGTAAGCCTCAGAACTCAGGACCCTAAGCAGTGAACAAGAATAGTTAACACCTGTGCAATTACCTGTACTGTAATGAATCACCTTATAGAAAACAACTTGGCCTTTGTCCTTGATTCCTGAGAGATAATTTTTGGACTCTGCTGAGGAATTAATGTGGCTTTTGTTATCTATGCCTAAAGACTACACTGGATGATTTGTGCTAAGGAGTGACAGGCTGGCCAAGCCAGAGAGACCACCTTGTGGCTTAGTATCAGCTGACCTCAGGAAGGGAGGGAAGCATGATTCAGTTATGCATATGCAATGAGGCCCCTATCATGACTATGACATGAAGCCAATAAAAACTGAACCTGGAAACTTCAGGAGCTTCCTGGTTGGTGAAAGACATCAATACACAGGGGAAGGTAGTGTACCCTTTTTGGAACATGGAAGCTCCATGCTGGAGACCCTTCCAGACTTTACCCATTTATCTTTTCTTTAAGCTCATCCTGATTTGCATCCTTTTGCTATAATAAAGTTATAAGCACAAGTATAGTACTTTCTGTGAGTTCTGTGAGTCATTCTAGTGAATTATTAAAACCAAAGGAGTAGAAGCCAGCAGATGAAAGGGAGGGAGTCTGTGGGAAGCTGGTATCCTGAAGAAGTAGTGGGAAAACTCCAGATTTGCAGCCAGCAGATCAGAAATAAGGTTGTGTGGACTCCTGATCTTGTAGCTGGCATCTGCCTATCTTGTAGTCTGAAGGAGAGTGTCCTTTTAACTTGTGTGAGATCTGACCTAGCTCCAAGCAGCTAAGATTGGATAGAGAAAGTGCTGCATGGGCAGCTGTTGTCAGAGGTCAGTGAGAAGTGGGGGAAGTGGTTATTTGATCAATCTTCATATTTGGAGGATTGGATTTATGTTGATTTTTATCTATAAACTAACTCAGAATCATACGAACACCGAGAAAACACTGTGACCCATTAGGCAAATGATAATTTTTAAAAATTATAAGCCACATCATTTCACTACCAATTTTAAAATACATGAATGGTATGCTGGCTTGCAAATAGATACAACTGATTTAGACAACTAGAAATACAAATAGCCTAGCTAGTCTTGGATTGGGGAGGGTGTCAGTTTCATACAACAGAAGCATGAATATCTGGGTGAAGTCCAATCCCAATGTGAGTGTATGAACTACCCTGGAGATTTCAGCATTGTCTGGAATCATCCTCAGGCTGGGAGCAAGGCTGGACGGCTTCCCTGGGAACTTCTAGCAGCTGAGAGATTTGATGATCGTGTATACCACTTCAAAGCTCTAAGAGCTCACTGGGGCCGTCAGCACCGCCAGGTGGCCCAGGTAAGGCATGCTGTACACTGGCCTTTAGAACCCTAGAGTTAGTCTTTAAATCAAAGAGCATTCTGCATAACATACCATCTTCTGTGCAGATCCCTTTGTACTTCACAATATTCTCATGATAGAGGTTTCTTAAGATTTCTATTTCCTTCTTCAGATCAGCGATGTGGTTGCCTCCACTCTCAGGCTTCAGGGATTTGACAGCCACTTGCTCCCCAGTATTGTCCCCCTCAGGGTCATACCTGCAGAGCTCAACCTTCCCAAAGTGGCCCTGGAAGGAAAGAAACATGTTATCATCAGAAAACCAACAGCCTAGACTGGCAGAAGCAAACTGGGAAGGTCAATCTTGCTCCTCATGGCTGCCCCCAAAGGCCAGGAGTCAACCAGCACAGTCTGACCCTGCAGGATGAGGGCTTTGCTCACTCACCATGGCCCTTTCCTCTCTTGGCCTTGGATACTATACCCTCTACCACTGAGCAAAAATAAGGAAACATCTGAGGAACCAATGCATCAATCCCAGTTTCCATGGGATTGGACAAACAACCCTAAAGGAAATGAAGGTTATTTCTGGACCTACAGGACAACTGTAGCATGCTTTGAAAGTCCTGGGGCCAAGCTACGGAGAGGTACCACTGTGTAGATGAAGAAAGCACTGCATGAGGAGCCTGTAGAAGATCTGGGGTCAGATCCCAGCTAAGCTACTTAATGGTGATCTTGGCCAGGTCACATACCTTCTGAGCTGGCTCCTGATGTGCTCGGAATACAAGCAGTAATAAACCCCTTAGGGGTGATCTGAGGAACTAAAGGCATTGTGTTCATGGAAATGCCCAGTACAGAGCCTGGCACACAGCCGATGCTCAATATATGGCACAGTCTTTGTTTAATTAATTGAAGCACAGGAAATCTGTATAAAGACGCAAATCCCAGGAGCTTCTCTAGTCACATTAACTGTTAGGAAATGCTCATTCGTGGTCCAAAGGAAAAGCTAGTCTTCTCTTTCGGCACTCTGTGGAGTAATCTGTCCCTCATTTAAGCAGCCTCACAGGATATATGTGTCCAGAAAGGCCAGAGACAAGGATTTTTCTGTTTCCCTCATATCTATCCCTATTTCCCTCATTTTTCTCTATCTTCCTCTGCCCCTCAGAGAAAAGTCTCTTGAGGGGGCTGAGCCAATGCCCTGTGTACATAATACAGTCATGCATACAAGCTGGTACATAATTCTGTTATTTTGCATGCCAAGTAGAGAAGACAAAATCCCTTGTAATAAAGTAGTCCAAAGAAAATGCAGCAAGACACTTTCTCTTATAAACACTGACCCCAAATGGGAAAGAATGGGGAACAGCTTTACATGCAGAAAAGGGAAATGTGGTAAGCCAGAGACTGTGCCATCAGTAATAAGCGCGGGTGTAACTTGCCTCTCCCAGGTCACGTATCCTCTTTAAGAACCGCTTTTCAAAGTGTGTGGGATCCACCTCAGTTGCTGGTTTTCTTTCTGAAACAATGTCTGGATCTAAGAGAAGAGAAAAGAAAGTGAAAAGCAAGTGATTGCCAGTGATTGCCAAGTACTGGCTCCTGGTTAATCCCCACTCAAACTCTCTTGCCATGGCATTTGCTGATCTTGTTAAAAGAGCAGAAGACAGTATCTTACTCTGCTCTTCCAGCTTATTAATGTCTCTCATGATGGCTCGGAAGAAGGGTCTCTGGTTGGGGTCGTAGTTCATGCAGCGTGTCATGAGGTCAGCCAGCTCCTTACAAGATGGTGTTACTGGCCGACATCGGCTTTCATAAAATCTCTCTTTCTGCAAAGAGGAACACAGGGAGGAAACCATTAGGTATCACCCACATACCTTTTAGTCCCAGGTGAGATGGAGTTACCAATCCCTAATTTCATCCCCAACAGCTCTTTGTAAAGATGGATGGCATAGGTGGATTTCATAAACATGGTGTTTCTGTTGCCTTATTCCAGCTTGGGGAAATCTCAGCCCTGATTAAAAAATGATCGACGTTCACGGAGGATGGGCAGTCTATCCCAGTCCTAAACAAGCTGCCCTCTGGTGAAGTGGCACCACCTTTCTGGAATATAATTTGGCAACTGGTATAAAAATCATCAGATTCTTCAAATCTTCTGACTCATTAATTCTCATTATTAAATGACTCAGAAATAATTCAGATACAAACACAGATTTATGTACAAAGGTGTTTCCTAAGGAAGTAGATTCATAGGAAATGCCTTTGTACATATGGAATTAGATGGGAGCTCTGGTAGCATAGTGCCTAAGGCACCTGACTGCTAACCAGAAGGCTGGCAGTTCAAACCCATCAGCCACTCCTTGGAAGAAAGGTTGGGCAATCTATTTCCATAGTGATACCGCCTTTAAAACCCAAGGAGGGGTTGCTATGAGTTGCATC